TTCTTTTCTTTTCTTTTCTTTTCTTTCTTTCCTTTCCTTTCCTTTCCTTTTCTTTCCTTTCCTTTCCTTTCCTTTTCTTTTCTTTTTCTTTTTATGGTACCTGGAATTGAACTCATCACCTCAGGCTTGCCAGGCAAGTGCTTTTCCCCTGAGCTACATCCCCAGCCCTCATTTTTTAACAGCAGTGGGAGGGTTATGTTTTTCAGAAAGTTCTCAAAACTTCATATCATTTCAATATAATAGGATAAACTAATGAGGACATTATAGAATACATTCAAAGAATTAGTATAATGACATGAAAATGTTAGCTAAAGTCACTAGGGGAAGGTTTAGTATAATGGAATTTTAATATGATTGATATGTTTTGGTTTAAGGGATGAAATCCATTTTCGAATAGCTGAAATAAGTACAGAGATAATGGATGTGTTAACTTGCGATCACACAGAAAGTGCTTTGTTTCTGTATATATCCACATCATCATGTTACATATGTTTATGTTGTTACATAAACAAAAAGGTAAGTTTAAAGTAGCCTGGTGAATGTAACCCTTAAGTGCATTAAAATTTAAATCCGTAGACATATTTTTCTGTTGGAATAATTTTCTAATGTTTCCTAATAAGACTTATTTTTCTGTGTTCGTTAGTCTCCTTGAAGTTATTAGCATTATGCTTAAATCTCAGACAAAATTTCACAAAAAATTGTGAACAAAATATGAGGATCATAAATGACTATGAATAATTTTTTTAGTTGATAAGTAAAATTTTTGTATCCTTGAATGTCTTCCTGTTCAGATTCTTCCTGAACCCTTCTCCTTTATTCAGAATTTAATAAAATCTTATGCAGAAATTGGGTAATGCTCACAAAGGGTTGTTCATGACTTCCTTCAGTGCATTGACCAAATCTGCAGTTGACATTGTCTTGAAATCCAACACAACAGCTGCTCCTTTGGCTTCTATGTGAGCTATGTTATCATGTTGTTCCCCAAACAAAGGAATCCCCACCATAGGGACCCCGTGGTTGATGGCATCACAGATGCCATTGGCACCTCCATGAGTTATGAAAGCTTTGGTTTTGGGATGACCTGGAATTCGAGGAATTTCAGTCACGTTATTAAGTATAAATCTTAGACAAAATATGAGAAATGTCAGGAGATGATAAGGGAAGAAATATATTCTATGAAATAGCTATTAATTGTTTTTTAGTGATATTACGTTGCTTTCCACCTCAGAATAAAAAATACCAAAATCTACTTGCTGGGAGGTGAAGATTTAATTACAGAGATATTGGGTGATTTGAGAGTTCAACAACAGGTATATGATACAGTAGAATGAATAGAAATACTAATGAAGACAATGAAGCAAGTGGCAAAGAAGACCTTGTGCATTCCAGAACCTTTCCTCCTTTAAAAAAATGTAGTGCTTTCAGTGAGTCTGATGTGAAGATTGTTCAAAGCTTCAAGAGGAGTACTTGAAATCTGAGGAAATGTGTTATTACTTTATAATAAACCATGTACTTTTTTGTTTCTTACAAATATAGTCATTGTGGATTACTCAACATTGACCTTGGAGTAGCCCTATTTTAGGGGAAACTACAAGTTTGTTTCTCGATCTGTGGGTCAGAGATACAACCCACTTAATTAAAAATTCTCAATGTGAGGTTAACTGCCACTAAGTAAAGGTTATTTCTGACCACCAAGCAGAGACTGTATAATCAAATGCAAACTATTATGTTTTACTTCTCAGCAGACTGGGAAAAGAATAGAAGAGTTTTGGAATAACTTTGAACTTTGCAAGAATAAATGGTCAGAGTGTTTCTTCTTTATATTAAAGTATCATGAAGTGAATTCACCGTTATCAGGTCTTCAGTGTTTGTGCTTTAGTACCTTACCAAGAAGGTCATTCTGGGGGATCCACTCATGCAACTGAGTATTGGGTTGTAAGGTATCAGGTGTCTTGCCGTTGTATCTCCAAATAACCTAATAGATCAAGAAAATATTTCACTGTACTTGTCAAAATTGAACCCGACGGATGTTTACAATTTAATTAGTTCATGCTAAATATGGTCTGTATATATATGTTTGTATTAGATGAGGAAATGAGATCAAGAAAAATTAAGTCATTCGTGTTGCTTTTGTCTATATTGGCATTTTGCTACTTTTTAAAAAAATTCTCTTTAAAATAAAATAAAAGAAAAAGCCCTAAAAGTTAAATAATGTGGAAAATTCAAGAACAAGTGCAACATAGACCTATCTTCTCTGTGGTTTCATACTACTTTGGGCAAGTACAGTCATGAGTTTCAGATAATGACTAATAGAAATGAGAAAATGAATGAAAAATACTATATTTAAGAATTTGCTATTTAGTCATCTGTCTATCATAGAGTAATGAATTTAAAGATTAAAGGTCTTGTATAAAATGTACCTGATAAATACAATATTTCCTTCTGTATTTTAATGATATTAGAGATAACTTATTTAACCTACAAATTATTTTACTAGAGTTTGAGTTTTGTATATTTTTCAAACTTCATTTTAATCCATCAGTGGTGAGAAATCAATAAAAGATTCAAAAATGTCTTACATAAAAATTGCTTTAAGTCACAAAATTAGTATTTCTTCCAGGAAGTTTTCAGTGGCTCTTTCTTCATGAACTCAGAGTATCACCATTCGTTGTAGGATAGAAAGTTCTTTATGGCTGTTGAAAACTTGCAAAATTGAAAGGCCCTACGTTTTATTCAAATGTTTATTTTGCCAAAATGGACCATGATGCACATTCACAGTACTGAAAACATGATTTATCCCAGACAAAGCATTTCCATGCCTAATCTTAGGGTAATGTAATATTCAGAAATCCCGAAGTCACCTACCTGTAATGAAATATCATTTCTTAAAGCATTATTTCTATTTACTATGAGACTTTTAGGGATAACTTCTCCTTCTCATCTTACAATGTACAATACTGAAAACAAGAATAATACAGCTATAGAAAATGTAAAAGTAGGGGGCTGGGGATTTAGCTCAGCGGCAAAAGCGCCTGCCTGGCAAGCACAAGGTCGTGAGTTCAGTGCCCGGTACCAGAGAAAAACCAAAAAAAAAAAAAAAAAAAAGAAAATGTAAAAGTAGTTCATAAATACTTAACAATTAAATTTATATTATATGTAACAGAAAATAACTTACCTCTAATTACCTCTTCTTATTCCAGGCTCGATTAAGCTGGCATACTTCTTACTATACTTCTCCTTATTCAATTACCTGGAAGTTTGAGTCAGGTTCATAGCAAGCGGTGTCCTTGTGAGACATATTTTATTGATGCCCTGAGTTAAGTAGAAAAGCATGGCCCCATTTCCACCCTTCTCTTACATCTTCCTCTTTTAGATGTTGGCAGGCTCCAGGTCATAAAGTAAGACTACCATTTTTTTTTCTCTCTCTCCAATTTTGGGGATCTGCATTGCCCTTCTACTTAGAGTTGATAAACTCTGGCCAGCATACTCAAAATTCTACCCTGAACAACAAACTTAATATTCTGATTCCAAAGTATGATAAATTATGAGGCCATGTTTCCACATTCATCTTAAATTGCATGATGATATTCAGCCTCTTTCAAATATCTGCATATTACTTTGTGCTAGCAAATTTACGAACTCAGCTTCAACACCAGTCTGAAACATCTTTAGGATGTACCATGCCCGGGGAACCATGCATGAAAGGAAGACAAGAAACCACACAATACTTCGAAATTTCTGAATTACTGCAAACAATGTCATCGTAACAAAAGTTCACAGTTTAACCTGTTAAATATTTCTTTTTGGTGTCAATGTTAACATTAACATTATTATGAACCAGACACTCCCTCTTTTATTAGTATATGCCACTGATAGCTTGGTTTAAACTGGCTAAGACAAATTAGATGTATAACTTTAATTTTCACATAGGAGTTTTTCAATTGGATCCTTGACAGAATTTAACAGATTAAGTTTGTGTCCTTGTAGTGTTAAGGCACTTTAGCTAACCTTTTGGGGCAGCTGAGCAAGAGCTGAAGCAATCACATTGGCTCTTTCTTCTGTTAGGTTGTGGACCATTGACCCTAGAGAAAACACCACAACACCATGTTCTCCAGAGCTCTGAACAAAGTGTTCCATTTCCTGTGAAGAAAAATGTACCTCATCACCAAAGATGAATGAGAGCACATACACTTTTGAAAGGATTAAAGAGAAAGGGAGAGACTTCCAGTCTTGTTAAGTATCACTGGAAGAATGTGGCTTAAGTACACACAATGCAATGCTTGCCATCTTAACCTTTTCTGACTTTCTCAGTAGCAGTGGGAAGAACATTCACAATGTTGTGCAAAATTCATCTCAAATGCATGTATTTGCAAACAAAAGTAGTAAAGCCAATGTACTTTCTATATTTTTAAATAACTCTGTTGAATTTACTTTCCTTTTTTATCCTGCAAGGAATATTTGCTATTTCTATGTGTATTCATTCTTCCTTTGATTCCAGCTCACCTTCTAGTGTTCTGGAGTTAGCAAAGATTCTTTAGAAAGACAGTGTAAAAATGTGATATATTCTTACATATAATTTAATCATTTGCTAATGCAGAATATTTAGTTTTTTGCCTGTGTTTGCTTTTTAAAATGTGTGTAGTGTTGTTATATGTTGATTATGTTTGTGTAGATTGTTTCAGTATATATCATATAGCCAGAATGTAGATATATTTTTTACAATTTCATCCAAATAATCAATCATTTTAATTTTTGATCAAATGACAAATCTATGTAATTTGTTAATGAAAAAATTGCATATTTTAGCAAATGAAAGATTTTTTTCTAAAATGACAGATTTCATTTTGATTTGGGTGCAAATATTGTGTGTACAACTAACAATAGGCATTATTAGTGAGTAATGCCATATGTTCTTTTTTCTTCTCCTCCTTGTCTTTTGTGTTCCCACTCTTAGTAACTTGTGGGAAAGAGAGGTCCAGAGGTCTGGTTGATGGCCGTGG